AAGCCCAGAGATAACCCAGGTCAATGTCCAGGAATGAAGGCTCTGATAGACTTATGCTTATTAAAATATGTGGGGTCCATGTGGACACACTATAGTACATATCTAATTTACCATGGAATATTCTGGAATGCTTTCTCTCCTTTTAGACAAGCCATTATGGGGAGCTGAACCGTAATCCAAAGATGTTTTACTAATTTACCATGAAAAATTACCATCACAGGGAAGGGACATATCAGAAGCCTGTATTTAAATATTTGGTATAACTATATATTATACTCAAATTACAAACAGAAAGTTGCTTGAAGAAGAGCTGTGTGGTGAATCGACTATTTAATGGAATCAAGCTAATGCCTGATGCATCTTTCATTCTAGAGATGATTTTTTCAGTGGTACCAGATATATAAACTCACTGATTACAACCTCTGCATCCCATTTTCATACTAGACAAGTATTTCTCAACCTTTATCATACATCAAAATCACCCAGAAGGCTTGATAAAACAGATTGCTGGACTCCAACTCCAGAGTTTGATTCAGTAAGTCTGGGATAAGTGTCTGAGAATCTGCATTTTCATAAGTTGCCAGGTAATGGCCAAATTGTCCACACTGGAAAACCAGTAGCTTAGTCATTAAGACTATCTCATGGTGAATAACACTTGTGATAAATATGGTTATAGTTAAATTCCCAAGGCCTGACAGCATCTCAGTCTCGTTTAAATTATTTTGCAATTCTTTGCTCTAATCCATTATTTGGTGACCTTTCAGCTTAACTACTTCATAATCAAGTTCTCAGAAGGCATCTTAATCATTTATGGAAAACTGTGCCCATACATGCACATATCAACACAACTTTTTTTCTTCTTTGGGCTAGACTAGAAGATCTAGAATAACTGGGTTAGATTAGAAAATCTAAACTAATTCTTATTCTATGTTAGATCCTAGAGAAAAAGTTCAGTGAAGTATTTAGTGTAAATTGGCATCTGGGGATGGGGCTGAAGAGAACATAAAAGTATAAGATATGAATCCTATCTTAAAGTTCATAATCCAGTTTGAGTTCATTTGACTGCTTTACAGTTTGCAAAGTGCTTTTGCATCATTATCTGATCCACTTAGAGAAGTTAAATAACTAATTAAAGAATAGGAATTAGGAGAAATCAGGTCTGGAACTCATGCCTTCTGATGAGTAGCTTACTAGTCTTTCTAGTACATCACTCTCCTTGTTCAAGCTTCACACTTGAAAGAAACTATGTGTATTTGCTTCAAGACTGTGCCCAAAGGATGAAATTACTCCTTTAAAAAACTAGTCTTAGTTCTAATGGCATAAAGAAAAGAAAGTATGACTAACTTTTCTCCCTTTCTTCATTCCTCTCCAAACTGTTCTTGCCTTGCATGAAAATCTTTGTCACCTTGTAATTATCCAATTTTCTATTTCATAATTTACAGGCCAAGAGGCCTCAGTTATGGGAAGGGTGGCTATTTTGAACTGTCTTCTTAACATTATCTAATGGTTTCCTCCAAGGGCACATACTTGTTTAATTTTTCTAAAGGCAGTCATAATTAGTCTCTAAAACATAATTTAGTGACATTAACACGAAAACTCTAGAAAAGTAAGAGAGGCAGGCAGGACAGTGAAAATTAAGTAAGCAAAAAAACAAAGAGATAAAACCCAGTGAAAGGAGAAATACTGATGAAAAATACTTTAAAAACATGAACCAGGAAAATTTTAGTACAATACGGTTTTTCTGTTGACTGTCATTTATGGGATATTTATTACAGGGATGGAGAAGGTAATAGGGTTAAAGAGAGAAAAATCAGGCTCTTGTGTTCAAGGAATTTATAATCTATTGGCTAAGACAGGCAATATATAACTATCAATGAAATAATATATGCAAGCTCCAGACTTCTATACCTTAACTGCTTACCTGAGAGCCAACTGTATTCGATGTCTCATAGGGATCTCACGGTTTAATAGTTAAAAAACCTGAATTCTTAGTTTCCTCTCAAACCTCTTTTTTTGCAATTTTGCTCCATCTCAGTAAATGGTACCACTCACTAACCAGTAACTCAGGCCAGTACCTGGGAGTCATTTGTCATTCCTCCCTTTCTTTCACATCCCACATCACACTCATCAGAAGGTACTTGAATTTACTTCCATACTTAGAAACCATCATTCACCTTTCCCTTATATATTCTGCCATCATCTTAATCCAAACCACCATTATCTCCTGTTTATGGTGCTGGATTAACCTCCTTATCATGATTCGGTCTCTGCCCATCTTTCCAGATTCATCTCATACAACTGTCCTTTCTGAATATATTCCAGCAATACTGGTCTTTCCTTAGATTCTTGAACATTAACATGTCAAGCTCTTTCCTGCCTCAGGACCTTTGCACAACCTGTTCACTCTGTTTAGAATGTTGTTCTTTTCCTCTCTTGCACAGTTGGATCATGCTCATCTTTTAGGCATCAATATCAACTCCTCGGAAAGGTCTTCTTAGACCAGTCTAATTCACATAGTTTCCTTGTAAATTCTCCTTAATTCTATCCATACAAGGTAAGTTCCATTAGAACAGGAATCTACCTTGTTCATCATCGGATCTCAGTACCTAGCAGTTCTTGGCACAGACCAAAGAAGCACTTAACTATCTGCAGAATAAACAAATAATTACTTGTTGCTCTGTGATCCAGTCTTGTGGGGTCAGGAAAGGGTTTCTGATTTAAAAGGCTTTGCAAACTGGGTAAGAATTAGCCAGGTCACGGACAGGGTCAGAAGACGGTTTGGGGTGAGAAAGAGGATAGTACACTTCAGGAACACAGAAGACATTCTATATGGCTGGAGCGGTGGAAAACCACTGGGGCTGAAGAGGCAGGCAAAAGTCAGACAGGAAAGAGCCTGTAAGTCATGTTAAAGAGTTTGGGCTTAAACCTGAGGGCAAATAGGAGGGACTGAAAGGTTTTCAATGGGGAGTGCCTCGGGCAATTATCTTTATCAGCCCAGCAATGTGGAGACTGGACTGGAATGTGGCAAGATTGAAAGCAGGAGAACCAGCTGGGCCAGGTGGGGGTACTGCCACAGCTATGTAGCAGTCATAGGGTCGAACCAAAATAATGTCAGTAAAAAACGGAGAGACGTGAACAGATCTGAGATATTCAAGAGGCTGTTAGGGACTGGCTGGATGCGAAAAGGAAGAAAACTTTCAAGTTCTGGTTTAAGCACCTGGCTCAGTTAAAGTATGTTCCCTCTAAGCCATGATACCAGTTTGGCAGATCCCCTTTTAGCACGTACTACTCTGCACAGTGGCCCGCTGAATACGTATTTGCACATCACAGAAGCAAGAGTCGCGCCTTTTCCACTCTATCTCCGATTCTAAAAGCTCACTCGGAGTCTAGCTCGATGCCACTGAAAGCGTTCAATAAACGTTCGTTAGGTGATTGCAACTGCACTGAGTCTAAAATAAAATAACTGACGTTTATATCTTTTACCCTCATGTCCGCCCGTTTACAGAGAATAACTCGTGAAAAAACAAGTGCCGGGCTCTGGGTGGGTCTCATTCATAATGAAGTTAAGAGCCTCCTTGGGAGTCTCCGGCCCTTAGGCTTCCCGAGAACCCCTTTACCCAGCTCACCTGAGGGAGAAGACCAGTAGCGGGCCCAGGCGACACACAGTGACTCAGACCGGCCGGATCAGTAGTTCGCCGGGAGCCTTCCAATCGAATCTCCCGCGTCCTTTTCCGCCGGAAGTAACGCTTTGGCTGCGTTCACTCAGAGCCAATCAGAAGAAAGCGCCGCAGAGGGTGGCGCTTAGCCAAGAAATCCTACAAGCTTGTGGGAACGACCATTTTCGTCAAACTGCGGGTAGAGTCGGTGGATCAGTAGTACAGTCCGTAAAGTTGGTTTTGGCTGCGCTAAGCCTCCTGGGCGTAGGGATCCCCGGAAAGTGTGGAGCAAGCCTGGGCGTCCTGGGGTCTGGCGGGGTGACTGAAAGAGGGAATGGAAGCCGGATGAAGAGGGTTGAGGGAGCTTTGGAAGCCAGACCCGGCGCTGTCCTAGGGGCTAGCACTACCCAGGGGCGGAGGGGGGAAGGGGGCTTTGGCAGGAGGCAGGAGGGAGGTGGAGCGCGGAGTGGGTTTTCGGGTGCCGAAGAAGAAAGGGGGCGTTACTTGAAAGAAGGGACCGGGACCTGGCGGGATTTAGGGACGATGTGGACCCGGGGCGACCTCTGTAATGGATGGGTTGTGCAAGCAACACAGTTTTGGGGTTAACAAAGAAAGTATCATAGGGAGTGGTTAGGCTCCATGATGGAGGTGGGTGCAAGGAGCACAGTCTTTGGAGCTGGACCCAGCGGTCTGCGACGACGTGCTCCGCTTACTGCTGAGTGATCTAGTGCAAGTTCCCGCACCTCTCTGAGCCTCCGTTTCCACATCTGTAGATGGGAATAACAATCGAATACGACGCACAAGATTGCTGTGACGATTGAGTTAGAGGAGATGATGCCTGTGCCTCCCTGCCTCCTGATATACTGGCCTGTAGTGAACCTTCAATAAATTGTCATGGAAGCTGTTATTGCCTTTATGTGGGATTTGCGGAGGGCAGGAGGTGTAGCAATGGAATTGAGGCAGCCAGGGCAGAGTTTGGCGGTGATTATAATGGTGGGGATATAGGATGACCTGAAGGACAGGTGAACTTCAGGGGCGCTATAGATAAAGCATGGGCTACAGCGATGAGGTAGGAAGAGGCCCTAGCATGATAAAGGCAAACTTGGGATGTGACCGCAATGAAGGTGAGTGCTAAGAAGCAGACGGCACGAGAGTAAAGTGGAGTGGAGGCGGTGCCCTCGGGGATGGGGGCGGAGTGGCTGTGGTGACCTGGTTTGGGCGGTGTCTGAGGAGCTGGCTGGCTTTGGGTTTCCCCCGGGAGGAGCCGTTTTGCGGCGGGCGGAGCTGCAGACTGGGCAGGGCTTAGCCCGTGCGCTGCTGCTGGCCTCCTTTTCGCCCTCCCACCCGCACTGCAGCCGCCAGCCTGAGCCATGGGCCGCCGAGCCCTCCTGCTCCTGCTTCTGTCTTTTCTGGCGCCCTGGGCCACCAAGGCCCTCCGGCCGGCCTTAAGGGCCCTCGGCAGCCTACACTTGCCAACAAACCCCACATCCCTCCCGGCTGTAGCCAAGAACTATTCGGTTCTCTACTTCCAACAGAAGGTAAGGGGGAGTGGGGGCTTCGCCGTCCCCGGCCCAACCGCCGGGAACCCTCAGAGCCCGGGCAACGGAGCCCACCTCGAAATTCACACCCCTTGATGCCTGGGATCTCTTCGGTCTTTGGCTCATGTCTTCCAGAAGGTGGTCTCAAATCCCAGTTTTGTTGAATTTTTCTCCTCCCATTACCAATAATTTGGTAGTACTTCTGGCTCCGTACTCTTGATTCAGGCTGTTCTGCAATTGGACACGGCAGTCACTTCAACTCCGCCTGCTCCCATAGGGTGCCCCAATCCGAACTCCCTTGACCTTCCCTCAAATTCAAATTATTAAAGACCAGCTCTGCTACCTAGTCTGCGGTGATAGTCATCCTTTGCCCCAAGGCAGCCCTAAATACAAATTCTAGTATCTTTACCTATTAGATAATATTGGATAGTTATCCATCCTAAAAACCAGCCTCTCATAAGGGGTCAGCTCAGAGCTGATTTTGTAGCCCTATTATTAAGAATTGTTGAAATCCCTATTCCCCATAAGACTGAACGTGTGTAGCCTATGGTTGTAAAAGGAGTTGTAGGAGCTTGTGGTGGGGTTGGGGATTAGCCTTTCTATGGTTTGTAACATGATTTTAGAGCTTTTTAGGCTTGATGCCTTTGTGCTTGGCTGCAGCATGAGGCATTCCCCCACAGGTCTTGATGGAAAAGTACATCCTCTGTGAAATGACGAGGATTCCTTACAGTTCAGCATTTCTGAAAGCCTGGTAAAAATAGGAAAAGATTTGGAAAGGGTTGGGATTAGAAAGAGTGCAAGGGTCTGAAGCTTGGCTTTAGGAGTCAGGTAGAACCAGATTCTACCCTGCTAGCTCTATGACCTTGGGCAGGTTACAGTACTTCTCTGAGCCTAGTTCCTTGATCTCTTGGGGTTTGTGGTGATGGTTAAGTGAGAGCAGATAACGTGTTCCTAGCAGAGTATCTGGCCTCAAGTAGGCACTCATATAATATGTGGTTATAGACCTACGTGAAATTTTGTTGTTGTTGATTGTATAGAGACAAGGCTCACTATGTTGTCCAGGCTAGTCTTAAACTTGTGGACTCAATAATCCTTCTGCATCAGCCTCCCAAAGTGTTGGGATTACAGGCTTGAGCCACTGAGCCCAGCCCTTATATGAATTTTGAATGGGAATTTGTGGTAGAGGGATGTCATAGACTTCCAGAATAACTTAGAAATAATTTAAATTTTTTTTTTTATTTTTAAAAATAGAGATGGGGTTTTGCCATGTTGCCTAGGCTGGTCTTGAACTCCTGGGCTCAAGCGATGTCCCAAAGGGCTGGGATTGCAGGCGTGTGCCACTGTGTGCAGCCAAGAAACAATTTTTAACTCAGACATTTGAGTTCAAGTTTATGAGGAAGATAAAACATTTTAATTTTACCAGGGATACCAGGAAATAGTCTTTTTTCTCAGGCAACTCCCTTAAATTAATTCTCTAGGCATAATTCCCTCATTTGTAAATTGGGAGGGTTGGGACAAAGACCAATGTGTTTCACACTTTACTGAGGAAAATTAAGGGCTCTTTGGGGAGCTGTTTCAGAGGGAAAGTGGATGAAGCCTGAAGTGGAGGCCAAATTAGGTGCTCCAATACCCCTCTCTTGGATCTCTTTCAGCTTTTATCTGTTTTATATGCTGGGATTTTATATACAACTATTTGCAGAGCTCAACTGCTAAAGTAAAATGGGGAGAGGACTATTGGAATGGAAGATCTCTAAAATCCCATTGGGATCGATGAAAAAGGGAACTATCAGCAGAAAAGGAGAGAGTGAAAGAGTGAAAGAGTGGAAGGGAACAAATTATTTGTTAGTACCTTAGTTCCTACTTTATGTTCCTTTATTGTAGATTCCTTTCTTGGCCACTACACTCCTTAGAAATACAATTCAAACACCTTGGCATGGGAATCCATTGTTCCTTACTATGAAACCCTAGCTGGTCATTCCAACTTTACATTCTGCCATAATCCTCCATCCCAGCTCCTACTTTTAGCAACCTAACAGACTCAGATGACTTTTACTGTGTCAGAAATTCTGCCTGGAATAACATCCCTCTTCTCCACTATTTAAACTCATACTTCTATTCCTGCAGAAATGTCACCTCTTCTGTGAATCTGACTTTTTTAAGGCAATTTAGTTGGTCTTTTTTCATCCTGCTCGTTTCTATATTGTACGTGTCCCTCTAGCTAGTTAGTACTCTACAATACCTAGAAGAGCCTATAAAAAAGTATAAAGCACAAAATAGCTGTTGAGAGAGTGAATGCATGATTATCCAAAAAGAACCTAAACAAAGGCTACCATCATTTAATTGTCACAAATCATTTTTTATTTTTCTTTTTATCTTTTACTTTAGTTCTTTATTAATTATTTTTTCCTCCTTTTTCAAAGCCTTCAAATATTGATTTAGGTAGGAATATTTGATTTCTTTTACCTGAAATAACTGAATTAGGAGACCAGAGAAAGGATAGTACATCACTTGGGCACATCAAGGCTCTGGGTACATGTGTAGTATGTGTGGTATCAGTGTCATAAAGGGCTCTCTGGAATGTGTGGCTTGTGGTTACAGTGTTGCATGCTTATTACCGTGTACCTCCCACCTGAGCCCCTCAGGCTAGAATGTGAGTCCCGAATCACACATTTTAGTGTGTGATATAGTCAAGAGGGAGAATGGGTCCTTGTCAGGCCATCATTTTTCTCAGTGGTAAAATTGGGAGCAATATCTATTATATTGTCAGGGTGTGTGTCTGTGTGTTTCTCTCTCTACAAGAGAGATTTTTATTAAGGAATTGGCTCATGCAGTTGTGGAGGCTTAGTAAGTCCAAAATCTTCAGGGAAGGTTGGTAGGCTGGAAACCTAGGAGAGAGTTTGCAGTTTGGATGCACAGGCATTCTGCTGGCAGAATTTCTTCTTGCTTAGGAGAAGTCAGTCTTTTTTTTTTTTTTTGAGTTGGAGTTTCGCTCTGTTGCCCAGGCTGGGGTGCAGTGGCGAGATCTCAGCTCACTGCAGCCTCTGCCTCCCGGGTTCAAGCAATTCTCCTGCCTTAGCCTCCCGAGTAGCTAGGATTACAGGTGCTTGCCACCACGGCTGGCTAATTTTTGCAGTTTTAAAAATACAGACAGGGTTTTACCATGTTGGCCAGGCTGGTCTTGACCCCCTGACCTCAAGTGATCCACCTGCCTCGGCCTCCCAAAGTCAGGGGAAGTCAAACTTTGTTCTGTTAAAGCCTTAAACTGATTAGATAAGGCCCACTCAAATTATGGAGGGTAAAGTCCATTGATTTAAAGTCCGCTGATTTAAATGTTAATCTCATCCAAAAAATACCTTCACTAAAACATCTAGAATGATGGTTGACCAAATAGCCGGGCACCATGGCCTATAAAGTTGGCATGTAAAATTAATCATCACATCCACCAAGGTTGTTGTCAGAGTTCAGTGTGATAACACATGAAAGCCACATGGATGGTACATAGAACATGGTAGGAATTTAAACAACTTAATGGAACAAATGCTAGTTCCTTTACAACTCTGTCCTGAAAATTCACTCTCATCCAAATGCATGGCGATAGTGGTAAAGGCTCTTCTGAAAACTTAGTACCCCACCATTCCTATTTAACTGCTGATCATTGTTTCTGTTAGAAGTCTGTGTTTTGGCCCAGCATTGAGCTCATGGTCACTGGCTCCTGCAGCTCCTTCCTCATCTGCTGTGAGGGAATCACATCAGTGGGCTAAGCTATTTAAATTTACATACGTCCTTTATAGTTCTGCTTTCAATTCCTGTTCTAGGTTCCCCTTTCCCACTTTTGTCACAGTGGTCCTGATGTCTAGTAAAATGTTATGTCTAGCTATGTTAGGCACCTTGGAAGGCCATGTTGATAAAGATCTTGTTCTCCTTCTTTAAATTTTTCTTCCCGTTTCTCCTCTTCGTATCTGTTCATCTACTGATGGCCTTCCCCTTAGGCCTGGAGTATCCTGTCAGAAATATTATGTGAATTCAGAACCGATTTATGTGTTTGGTGATACAGAATCATTTTTAGAAGGGGCCTTGGTGATCATGTAGCCTCCCCCTTAGATATGATGGATTGACCTTGATCTAAATTATAGAGCATCAGAAACTTGATAGAGCTTGAATAGGAGGGTGGTTCAAAGCACAGCTTTTAGTGTTGGGTGTGGTGGCTCACCCCTGAAATCCTAGCATTTTGAGAGGCTGGAAGGATCACATGAGGCCAGGAGCTAGCAACCAGGTTGGGCAACATAGTGAGACCCTATCTCTACAAAAAAATAAACAACAACAACAAAATCCAAAGCATATCACTTAGAGGCAAACAGGTTTGAGAACAAGTTCTGTTTCTGCCACTACCTGAGTAAGTTACTCAGAGGCAGCTCCTATTTTCATAATCAGCAAAATGGAGATAATTATATTACCTATCCCATAAGTTTGTTGTAAAAAGAGGTGGTATGTGTAAAGTGCTTATTTAGCACAGTGCATAACACTTAGTAAACTATAAATGATAAACATTTTTATCTTGCCGTTTCCTAATGTACATGGTTTTAATTAACCCCTTCACTTTTTTTAAATCAATAGGATTAAAATAATCAATACTTTAACACACTTGTGGCCTAGGAATTAACCTTTTTTCTTGCTTGAAATCATTCTTTTCACACAAAATTCTGTACATAAAAAGAAGGATATGAAACTATTTCTATCTTTCTTTCTATGCTATTTTAAGTGTTGATAAAGTGCTGGGGGGAAATGTGGTAATGAATTTACCCTTTCAGGTTTTTGGAAGTAGCTTCTTCTCTTGATAATAATAGTAAATCTAACACTGTCTTTCTGATAGCTGAGTTTTAAATTTCTTACTAACTAATGCTAAAATCTAAGTTCAGTAAAAATTAACTTTAAGTTTTTCACTGTCTTGTTTATATTCCTCTGTCAGCACATTGCAAGGAATTTGTGCTTTAGAGAATTTA